AGCAAAACTTTCTGACAACTCTGATATTAGAAAAACTGTACAGTTGAGGTAAGCATTTTTCACCTTGTTTTCCACTTTGCCTACCCTGCCTTTCCATACCATGTCCACAGAATAAGAGGAGAAACAAAATGTTGCAGTTCTTCTGAGAGATACGAATATCCTAGAAAGCTGCACATGGTCTTGTTAAAAGACTAAGTAGAATTTTTAAAATATGTGTATAAATACAGATATATTAATTTTTTTTTATAAACACAGAAATAATATCTATTAATTATCACATGCAAAAACACAGCCATTGTTGCTTGTGTGTTTTTCATGTGTGCCTAAATCACACTCACTGATTACAGCTAGAGCTGTGATGCTTGGAGGAGCACATTTCTGTTGACAGTCATCATCACAGTGTGTGAGGTGTGCAGTGGAAGATGTGTGCTAAACAAGTCTGCAGGAGAAGAGGCACAAGCTTGATGACAGAATAAGCACACAAAAGCTTTCTGAAGAAATGTAATTTTAGTCTTGGACACAGGAGATCTTAGGTGCATATGTCACACACCCTGGGTGGCTGTGATGAATGGGTTTTTTGGATGACAAAGTTGAAACTCTGATGTTTAACTTGCAGCAGTGGTAGGTACTCACAGCCCAGTCTGAAAGCGTGCTGGATTTTGATCAAGTGTAGTAACAGGGCTAAATCATCTGAAAAATCCAATTCCAGTTTTCTCAAGTTGTCTCCAGTTGGCCATGTTAAATTACTAGTTACTTTTTGGCCTTAGTCTCCCCATGTCTCACTTGAATTTTCAGCTCCACTGTGAAAATGAATTCAGGTTGTGGAGTATTTCCCTAGGAGGGAATTAAATAGCCCTGTGGGAACAAAATTTGGATTGTGTTCAGTAAAGGAGAGGTGTGACTGTGCATGAGACATTGCAAAGAACAAAACATGGAATATCTTCTCAATTAGCGAAGCACCATGTATTCTGCTTGTTGGATAAAACATGGGCTCTGTAGAGAAATTGTTAGGTCACATTATTAAAGCATTCCTATTTTTAGGTGTATTTGATGTGCAAAAGGACACTGAGTTAAACATTCATAGGTATTTCTTAATATTTGGGTGCTTTGCAACCTGAATGTTCAGTTCACATGTGCAATTTACCAGCACTAGTGGATTGCATGTAGAAGTGTTAACTGGGATTTTGCTAAGTACTGTGTGGACTCCCTAAATTACATGTTCCATTTGCTAAAATGCCTAGCATTCATTGACTTAGGAAAGTGTAGGTAAAGGGGAATGCTACTCATCTAAACAGTCATTGCATGATAGAGTTCTGAGGTTTGTAGAAAATTTCAGATGGGGAGGGAACCGACAGCCAGGATCACTTATCTATGGCTCTGTGAAGCCTGTGACAACAGTGTACTGTTTTGAAGCCTGAGAAGAGATTTTTTGAGAGAACCAAAGTGACAGTTCTTAGCCATTTGGAGAGCCACATCTCTTGTTTAGGCTTTCTTGTCTCAATATCTGAATGACTTGCAGCATATTTTGTTTCACCTTTGAGGATGCAGTGTTGCCCTATTCATATTTGTCTAGAATTCGTACCATCATGGAGATCATACTCTCAGCTTCTTGTTTTGGACTGTGACTCAAAAGTTCACATGTACCTCCTGGATCATGTCAAATATAGATATAAACATAAGCACCTCCAACTTCTTGATGTCAGTCATTTACTCTTACCACAGCATGTCTTGCTTGGTTTGGTTTGGAGAAGACACTTACCTCCCTTTTCCTCCAGTGGGTCTCTTGAGCCAGCTCCTGTTGTCTTTTTCATATCAGCATTTCACATGCACCTTCTTTCTTGTTCTCATTATTCTGTGAAACTTCTCTCGTGGTTCTCTGTAACCCTCTATCAGAAATACTCTCGTCTTGGAGGGTGTGCCATACCTCTCTGTATAACCACTGGTCTATTAGCCTGCTCCATTTTTCGTCTTCGCCTAAGTTTTTCTCATTTTGTGTTACATTCTGAAGGATTTTGGGAGAAGGGTTGCCACTTTGCTCTGCTAGTACAGTGCTTGGCAGAGTATCCTAAGATGCTAAAGAACTATTGTAAGAGTAAACTAAGAATGATTTTCAGATAATTTCAACCTGCTGTGCTCAGGAAGAGGAGAAAGGAGAGTGGGAAATCCCTTGGAGCAGAGAGGGATTGTTGGTGACTTCAGAAACTAGAATGTGTCAAAAGAAAGTAACTTGCAGCACAACGCTCCCTGATCTTGGTAGGGAATGTGTAACTGCGGCGTGGAAAAAGACGGCAGCAGAAGGGGAGGGGGTGGGGGGGGAGGAGCGTATCAAGGTGAGATTTGACCAGTCCTCCATCCCTTCCTTTCACAGGATTGTTCATCTGGAATGACAGCTGTCACCATGCACTGTAAGAGGCAGTGTCAGAAAAGTGCCAGATGCAGTTGTTCAGAATTCTCTCAGTGCTAAACGCAGCGTGTTGCTGTCGCTGAAAACCATCTGTAACCCTGCAGACTGGTTAGACTGGCTTAAAGCCTAGAATAACTCTGAGCAGTTTATGCAGATCTAAGTGGTGATGGCAGGGATGTCAGGTTAATCAGCAAAGTTGGCTTCCAGAGGAGTAAAATGAAGGATTCCAGAGGAGTGAAGTGACCAGCCACAGGTCAGCATATCTTGCTGTCTTAGAGCAGTTGAATATTCGTGATGAGCCTGGGGATTAGAGGTGATAAACATCATAAAGTGCAGCCTTAGAGGACATACCCATGTGCTGGTCACCCATGGCTGGATTTCCCTTCTACTTTCATGAGGATACAAATTTAAGAAAATTAAGGGCTAATTACTGGCTTCACTAATAGCTCTAGTTTATCCATAGCCTTCACAATGGTGCTGCTCCAGGGGTAGCTCGACCCAGAGGTGCAAGGGGCAGCAAAGGGAGGCTCTGCACAAGGTGATGTGGGGCCAGCTTTGACTCAAGTTATCCAAACAGGCATTTGAATGTTGCATTTGCCAAGGGATTCTGGATTTCCAGGCAGGTACCACTTTAAAGGTTTTACCTGAACAATGCATACACAGCAACTTGTGAGGGAGCTGTGCTTTTGTGTTGCGACTAGAGAAGCTTGGGGAGGGTAGTGTCCTCTCTCCTGAAAGAGCAGTGTCCTCTCTCCTGAGTTAATATTTAGACAAGCCTACCTGGTTTGTTCCCCATAAATACTTCTATTTTTGCATTTTGGCATTTCCCAGGAAGCTTTGGGAGTAAGCTCTACAGAAGTTTAAATATGGTGTTTAGCCCTTACTCTGCAGTTAACCTGGCAGAGTGCTGCCCTTGCTGTTCTTGAGCTTCTGATTACAGGATACATATTTTTCATTTTTAATTCCTTGGTGTGTCTTTACTCAAATTACCTCCTTCCTTGCCAGTGGTAGAGATTAGGCCCCACCACAAAGTAATTGCTACCACTGGAGATGTACATTCTTCTCCCTTCCTCCAGGCACCCAGCTTCTGCCCAGTGCCTGTGTGCTCCATGTGTGTGTGTGTGGTCTTAATAGCAAGAACACACAGCAGCCCAGGCTGTAAGCCCACTCTTATTTTTGTTACCTGTTTGCTCTGTTGACATCTCACCAGCTTTATACACTCAGCTGTGAATGAAGGGTCTTGTGTAGCCTTGCAGAATGCTGGTGTCACAGCCACAGCCCATGGCTGCCTCCCAGGATGTTGGTGCAGCACACAGTTAATTCAGAGCTCTGTTGCTTTTGCCAGCCCTACAGTGTATGTTTTTGCTCTCTCTCTTTTAATTTTGTATATGCACTAAAGACTTTGTTTGAAGGCAGTAGAAAGCTTTGAAAGAAAGATCAGCACTCTTTTTCCTTTTGTGTATATTTCCTTTCAGATTCCAGCTGCTCTATTTAATGGATATGCCTCTTACAACCACTGCTCAGTCGTGGCAGAGGACTGTGCCCCATGCAGCTGGGATGCAGTGCCCCTGGTATAGGATATTCTCTGCAAGAGGAAAGACTAAAGTCTAAGACTAAGGAAGTTTTCTAAGGCAGAATTGCAATTGACAAAAATGCATTTGATTACTTTGTGTTTTTAAAGGGGGTTGTTAACAGCCTTGTGGAATTGTTTCAAAGGTTGAGTCTTTCTAAGTTCTTGGTACTCTATTATACTTCAGACCTGGGAAAATAAGTAATTTTTTAGCAAGTAAAACAGTGAATGGAAATGGAATGGAAATGGGGAGCTAAACTTACCATGCCAACCTTCTTCCAGTGCTTGACAATGCTGGGCAAACCCTTCAGCTTTGTCTAGAAAAAGGTTGCATGGCTTTCTCTTGACTAGGGAGCTTTCAATAAGTGGAGTTAGGGGATAATTCTGCGGACACATGACGCGTGTTTCATTGCTGCCAGATAAAATATTCATCCTATGCTGTGACTTCCCAGAGGCTCTGTGGAGGAAATCGGCCTGATCACCATGGCACTGGTGCTCCTGTGACATCATCAAAGCCTATATTCTATTTTGCACCTACTAAATGAATCCTTGGGGGAAAAAAAATGAAGTTAATGGTGTGACAAATACTTTGTTCTTAAAAGTATAATCCCACCATTTGAGCTATTTACTGCCTGCAAGCAGTAGAAGAAGCAGAAGGAGGAATAAAACTGAGTCAGCAGGCATTAAGCTGTTTAGGACAGGGCTCTCTGGCTACTTTACCCAGTGGCTTGTTTAGTCTTGTTCTGCTACGCATTAACAGCTTTCAGCAATGTACAGTGATTAGTGCTCTGTGTCTTTCCTCGCTGCTCCTCTGTGTATCCTGGGGCTAGGATTAGGTTACAGCCCTGAAATGGCATGGTTGTCTGCATTGACTGAAAGCTGAATAGTAAGGTCAGAGTTTTGTTGATAGACTAAAATGTCTTCTGTGTTTGTTTCCTTTCTCTGAAGGTGGAATGACATTATTTTCATTTGTAGTCTTTCTGTTTCTGATCTAAACATGTGGTATCCAATTTCCTTCCCTGGCAGGTGACCTGGAAAATGAGGAATGGTGTCTGGCTACAGAGTTTACAACAGCTGCAATAAAGACTGAGCCAGGGCTTTGTGAGACATCAGGCCTTGCTCCCTCAGTCAGTCTCACCATCATGGCCACGTCGCTGGAGGGGGAACAGCCTGAGCTACAGACAGATGCCCTGGTACTGCAGACTCTGTTCTCTCTGTGCAGTTAGCTGCAGGCTCTCCTAAGGCTGCATAGTGCAGCAGTGTACACCGTGTAGTACATACTAGCCGCCTTGGCTACTATGGAAGCTACATGTAGCCTCCTTGGTGCCGGAGCTTGGCAGTTCGGGGTGCACACTGAAGTCTGTTCTAATGGTTTTTAATGTTTGCTGGTGTCCCATTATTGCTGTAAGAGCTTGTTATCTGCATCTTTAGCTCTTAATGGTTGGGTATACAACTTCGTCTTCTATGCTAGCCCCAAAGCCTGGGGCTCTTGGGTTTTTAGAAATATTTGAATAGTTTCTAATGAACCAGTTGCACCTGAGCTGCCTAATCCATTTGCTCTATGAAGCTTGTGACAAGCTAAGTGTTTTTAATAAGACCTTACTTTTATGCTGCAGTGCCTTCCCCTAAGCAGAACAGGACTCCTTGTTTGGATGGATTGGTGAGTTTCCCTGTTTGCCTGCAAAGTTACTTTTGCCAGATCTGTGAAGCTTTGACATTTCAAGCTGCTGCTACTTCTGGACCAACCAGCCTCACAAGGAGCTTTGTGATGCTTTTCTGACCACAGCTGGAGCGGCCAGTGGACATTCTAAAGAGCTTAGTTTGGCTGTGGTTGGGTTAAGGAGAATGAACTGCAGCAGCTGGTGGCTCACCAGGGTCCCCAGCCAGTAGAGGAAGAAGCATGGCTGTTGTCAGCCCTCAGGATGCAATGTCAGGCTGGAGGGAGCTGAAAGTAAATGTTTCCACTTGCATGTGGATCAGAAATGTATGCAACAGAAGTTGTTTTATGAGAAACTGAAGAAAGCTTAGCACAAGTTTCCCGTAATTTCCTCCTAGCTTGAATGTGCTGCTCCCAGGACACAGTCATCCTGTTGCTTGGGATGCCGTGATTTGCAGAATATTGGGAGCTGCTGGTGGCTCATTGCTGTTGCATGGATTAGTTTCACAGGTTACTGAGAGAGATTTTGGCTGCAGTTAGCCTGCTGGTGTGCCAGACTGGCTTCCTCAGGCCTGGCACTGCAGCACACAGACAGGCTCTGGGCAAAGCTTGGCAGCCTGGTGCCCCAGCCTTGTCAGTGGGGCAATCCAGGTGTCTTCCAAACTTCAGTCAGCAGCGACTGTCTCTTTTCCTGCTCCTCAGCACTGTGAAAGGAACCTGGGTCCCAAAACCTGGTGCTCAGTGACTGGCACCTTGCTCGTGCTCCCAGATGACAATGGCCTTTAAGAGGCTCTCCCTGACTCCTGGGGGTGTTCCTGTCCTTGCTCAAACAGACCGTGCAGTCCAGCAAATCCTAGCAGCAGCTCTGTTGCTAAGAGAAGTAATTAGAGTGGGTTACATGTTAGCTTTCAGTCTGAAATGTCATCTCTGAGGCATAATCTTTTATTTTAGCTAAATATAGTAGTATATTTAGCTAAAATAAAAAGAAAAGCCATAGTGGGAGCAGTCAGGGCAATATTCTCTGTAGCCTGGTTTAGCAAAGTGTGTGAAGCAGTTAAAGCTTTGCCTGTGGCAGAGCAGGAGGAGACCAAACCTCTCCATTTATGGAGAAGTAATCCTGGTGTCCTTCTATTAAGATTTTTAAGATGTGTACTCCAGGTTTTCATGCTGTTAATTTCTCTTTTCTAGATGAAACCACTGACCCAGAAAGTTCTTCCAGAGATTAAACTGGAGCCCCATGAAGTGGATCAGTTCCTGAACCTCTCTTCTAAAGAAGGTCTGTTAAATATCAAATGAAAATGTAGGAGTAGATGTCCAGCAAGTACAATAAATGTACTTTACTCTGATTAAGTATTTGGATTTCTCGTTCACCATGTCAGATTTTAGGCTGAAGCTGTCATTTTATAGGGATTCAGCTCAGGCTATTGAAGAGCCAGAGTCTCTCTGAGCCTTTATGTGAAGTTTTTTTTTCTTTTTTTTTCCCCCTCCTTTTTCATCACAAAGAAAATGCCTTTTTCTCTGTAAGATATTAATAATTGTACTGAAGGGAGCTTGAATTATTCAAGTACAGGATTATTTAGGATAGAAAAGAAAGCAATTTGAGGAGACTTAGTTAAGATATAAGAAACTTGACTGTTAACCTCTGATGCAAAAGCAGGATGTGAGTTTATATGAAAATACAAGTTAGGTGAATCTGTTTGTAGCATATTAGTTGGAAGAACAATCATTATCTCTTTGTCCTTGCACTCTAATGTGAAAGGAGGAGGAAAGATCCCTACCCTGAAAGCTAAACACAAAGCCAAGAAAACTTTGGAAGAGCCAATATTTGGTGTGAGATCTCAGCAGATAACTGCATTTCCGTTAGAAACACTTGATATTCTGTTAGTGAATTAATTTCTGTGGGTAAGTAGCACTGCTCTAGAGAGAGAAGCAAATGATGTAGCAGGTGGATAAAGGGAGGTTTTATCTCAACGCAGGTATAGATTTGTTTGCTCACTTTGTGGGATTAAGGGCCTTTCTGTTTTTCAAATATGCTTCTTCTTCTGGCAACTGCAAGAGCTACTGTGTGAGACAAAAAGAGTATTATCGATTTTTTTATTACTATTTTTCTTCCATCCTCCTTCACCACCCATTTGATCTTTTCAACTCAAATTTGCATAGCATAACAGAAGTGGAAGGTGGCAAATTAGTCCTGTGTCTTCCTACTTCAAAATTCAATTGCTGTAAATTTAGCTCAGAGAAAAAGTGACTTAGTTATGGCTGTTTTGAGCATCTGCTAAATTGTCCATTTAGTAAGAGTGGGTGAGACATGCCCTGTTTCTCTTGGTCCAGACCCTTTTGATCATAAGCAGCACTTTGACAATTCTAGAGCAGTTTCTTTTGGCTGCAGCTGAGGTTATCTTATGGCCCCTGGACAGACAGCATGAGAGAGGTTCCTGTGGTGGCTGCCTGTGCTGCTCCTGCTCCATCAGTGCATTGAAGCCTTTGCTGTCACTAGTTTGTCAGTCATGTCCCAGCTGTGCCAAATCGTGTCCTTAGGAGGCCTTTCTCTCCTTCCTGATCATGTAACTCCTTGGATGTGATCCCTTCCCTTGCAAATACTGGCAGATTGTTTAATCTGTGGCAAAGTTAGAAAATACTATTGTTTTTGGAGAGAAAGTATGCTGGCTCAGGGCCCCTCTGTTAATGTGGTTTCCCAGGAACCGGGAACTTGTACTTTACGTTATATGTGAACCTCAAAGCATTTAAAAAGAAGGAGCTGAAGTGTAGGTAGAAGTGACTGGAGCGTATGCACACAGTCCTGTTTTGTCTGTCAAACCTAAAGATAGCTGCTGCGTTTCATTCCTTCTTTGGAGACCTGCATGCTCCAAACCTCTTCCAAGTTGTCACTTCTGCTTGATCCATCTTTTAGCAGACACTCCTAGTCCTGGAAACTGTGTGGTGGTGGCAGCTTTAGTGACAATTTGAATCGACACCTTAAACCCTTGTGTTACTTTCTGTCTCTGTTGCCATTTAGCAGTGGATGCCCTGCATTTGCCTCCCACCCCTCCGAGCAGCCATGGCAGTGACTCTGAAGGAGGGCAGAGCCCAGCTCGGTCACTCCCTCCTTCCAGCCCAGTCCAGCTCCAGGCCACGGCCAAGGTTGTGTCGCGCACAGCTTCGATGCTCTCCAATTCCCCTCTCCTGACTGCACCACATGTGAGTTGAGCTGGCTTTCTCCATCATTTGTGTGTCTTTTTTTTTTTTTTTAACTTTCTAAATTACTGGTTTTGACAGAGATTTGCTAACTTTGTATTGTTGTTTAGATGAATTCATGTCTGGTCAAAACTGCAGATCCGGTAATTCTTGCTCACTGGTCTGTTCTGTTCCCACAGGGAACAGCATGTGCCTCTCCTCCAAGTTGAGACAGGGTTCACCAGTGTTATTAGGTTTATCCCATCACGGACTGTGTTTATCCCATCAGGGACTGTCCTTTGCCTTAGGGCCCAGCCCTGCTGGGTTGACCTGTCTCTGGTAGATCTGCATCTGTCCTCTTGTCATGTCATTAGCAGGTGGTGATCTTTAGGGAGGGATTTTCAATAGTGTTTCTCATGTGTCTCTATCCCTGTTTGAGCCAAAGGCAGTTATACCGTTGGCCTCAGTGTGGACAGAGCTGGGTCAAGAACAACTGTTTTGAGGGAATCCTGTCCCAAAGGTTTGAACTCAGAATGGAAGTTACCTGAAAGGTCTTCCACACATTCCCAATTGCAGGAGGCTGTTCTAGTAGGCCTAGTCCTGTCTGAAGTGGGAGACCTCCTGCCTCTCCTCCCTAACAATCTTTTCTTCTAGGACTATGTGCACTTACTGTTTCATTTTATTTCATTTCTATGATTCTTGAAGAAATTACAGGGGACTGGCCCCCTCATCCTGACAGAGGAAGAGAAGAGGACGCTGATAGCAGAGGGCTACCCAATCCCTACCAAACTGCCCCTGACAAAAGCAGAGGAGAAAGTTCTAAAGAAAATCCGCAGGAAAATAAAAAACAAGGTAAATCTTAGTTAGCTTTGCTGGGTAGTTCCTACTTGTCCTTCGTTTTAAAAAATGCTGCAGAATTCTGCAGTAATGGTCCGTGGTACTGTTGAATGCTGTAAGTTGTCTTTTAACAAAGTGCTTTTCTTTGTTCCTAAACACATCCATCAAATTGTCTGTCAGTGTGAGTGTGCCTCAGTGTAGGTATTTACCTGACCCCATTAACAATAGAGTATTTAGCAGGCAGGGTATCAAGTTGCAGTGGCTTGGCTCCATTTAAAAATCAGAACAATCCTACCCTTATGGCAAGCAAAGAGCTCTGTATTCTTTGCATGGTGAGGAAGGTGTTCTTTTCTGTTTCCTGTTTTAAAATACTACTCTGTATTGCAGTGCACTAGTCTTTTGATCACTGAATTCAGTAACTTGTAAAGTTGATGCCAAGGATGCCAAAAGCCCTGCAAGTTTGGGGTTTTTTTCCTTCTCACATGCGGAAGATCCTAGTGATAGGAAAGAATGCAATTTTTTTCAGACCCAGCCAGCTCACTTGTTCTAGGGGATTTTAGCACACATTTTGTGGTTACTATGTTCTGCTACTGGTTTTGCAGATAGAGGTGTAAAATTGGACACACTAAATTGGAATTTGGTCTTGTACTGTGTTTTTTCAAAATTTTCTCAAGTGATCTTGTGCATTTCATGTACCACTTACATAGCATCAGAGTCATTTATATTGAGGAGAAATCTGGAGGTCCTTTGGTCAAAGCCCTGGCTTGGAAAGCAGGGTCAGCTTAGGGTAGGTTGCTCAGGGTCTTGTCCAGTCACATTATACTGCTGCAAAGGATGATGAGTCCTCTGTGTCTCTGGGCACCATGTTCCCATATTAGGACACTCTTGTGGTAAAAACAAATAAATAGAATCCCTAATGTGTGACTGGAATTTCCTTTGCTGCAACTTGTATTTGATGCCTCTTGCCATTTTGCTGTGTGCGTCTGAGAGCTCTGACATCATCTCTGCTGCACGAGATAGTTGAAAACAGCAATAAATCAGATTCCCTCCTTGGCCTTCTCTTCTTCAATCTGAACAAGCCCATCTTTTTCTTCCTTTCCTGAAATGTCATGTGCTCTGGCATGCATATTATAGCAGAGCTCTGCCTCTGGGCCTGCTTCTGTACATCCAGAGGATTTGTTTCTGAGCCATGGACTGCGCTGCTGTACTCAGCTGTGGTTTTGCAGCCACTGAACAGCGCGGGAAGAACCACTCCTCTGGACCTGCCAACTACAATCTCCTCAATGCAGACCCAGGTTTGGTTGGCTGCTTTTCCAACAGAAGCACACTGCTGACAGTTGTTTGACTTGTTCATCAGGACCCCATGTCCTTGTCTGCAAAGCTGTTTTCTAATACATTCATGGGCTTTTTCTCTCCTGGATGCAGGACATCATCCTGGGATCATCCTTTTATATTTGTCCTGGGATATTCTCTCCAGATGAATCTGATTTATTTTTTAAGGTTAACAGGGGATGATTTTTTTTGTGTGATTGAAAGGAGGAGCCTTGTTTCAGAATGTGGAAATAGATCAAGTCAGTGCTTTGCTTGCCAAGAATAGAATGAGAACAAGACAGATGCTTGAATCCAATAACACTGGGGCTTTTTACCAGTTTATTAATTTGTCTCTGATGCTTTTGTTTTCTATGCAAATATTTGGTATTTTTCATCCTTTTTCCTTAGATCTCTGCCCAGGAAAGTAGAAGAAAAAAGAAAGAATACATGGACAGTCTGGAAAAAAAGTAAGCCAGCCTCCTTCCTGTTTCAAGCAGGCCAATAGCACTAGCTGTGGGACTGGGAAGGGATCCAGCTGTGGCTGCTGGGACAGTTCCATGCACAGAGTGCCAGCTGCCATCTCGTGGTAGTGACTGAGAAAAGGCCCTGCTCCTGGCAGCTGCTTGTCGGGGCCAGGACTGTGCCTGCCTGCAGCAGGTCGCTAATGTGCCAGCAAACACTTCACACCTTAAATTAGGCAAGACCCAGCTGCATTGGCTTCACCTCAGGCAACTGTGTTGGCCTAGTGGACCGGCAGTGTTCAGGGAAAGATGGATCCAGAGTGAGTAAGCTCTGTCTTCTAGTGCAGATGAAAACAGAAATAGGAAGTGGGTGAGTCAGGACTGCCTGGGAAAATAAGCAGGACTCAGGAAAATAGCATGTGACCCACGGACTTCCCTTAGCAAGCAGGAGCCAAACCCCCAGTTAGTGATTTATATCCCAAATGAATCTTTCTTCCAGGAGATGAATATTCTAGTATTACTCTTATGCAATTCGCCAGATGGTTCTGTTAAAACCCTTGTACCATCTTTGGTGATATCCTTGATGTAATTTCCATTTTTTTCTTGTCTCTTTATAGCTCTGTCTTGCTTCCTCAGAGTTACTCTTCTGAAATTCCACCTCATGCATACCAAATATCAAGGATATTTTCTTTTCCCTTTTTTCTTCTTGAAGCTATTCAGGATTCTGTTTGTTTTCTTAGGAGTTTTGGACCTCTTACATGTTATATGACAATGTCCTTTAGTTTGGGGATTTCCAGGGACGGTTTGGAAATGGGTAGTATCTTGGGACAGTCTTGAGCACTGTCCTTAATCTCGTGGCTTATTAGACCTCATAAGCTTGAAATTTGAGGCTCTGATTTCAGAAGCATGGCATTTGCCAGACAGCTAATGCAACTTTTGCTTTGTGTTTCACGCTGTGAAGTGTGATTAAATATTACTACTGAAGTTCATTGGTGTAATTGTTTCTTTAAATGCAGGCAAAGTCATGGAGCTCTCAGTAAAAGCAAGTTTGGCTTGTTTTACAATCACTTGAATAAATAACTGATGTTTTTATATTTCTCTTCCATTGTGCTGTCTCCAGAGTTGAGACCTGCTCAAATGAAAACAGTGAGCTGCGTAAGAAGGTTGAAGTCCTGGAGAACACTAACAGGTAAGGTATGGATATCATCAAACAAAACTTGATAGCCGGATATTACCATGAGAAGTGAAAATCTGGAGGTTAAGAGATCAACTGAAATGTGACCAATAGCTGTGTCTGATGGGGTTCATGTCTCAGAAAGATGTGGAAGGCCAGTTATTGTGACTGCAGTGGGATGTAAAGCATGGAGGTTTTGATGTCATGTCTTAAACTGCCTCCCCAGCCTGTGGTGTGCTTGAGAAACCTTTTAGCACACTTCTCTGAGTTCCTTCACTGCCCAAGGGAATGTAATTAGCAGTACAAAACAAAAAAAGCCCCTACGTTCCAGCTCTCCCAATTGTCTTTATTTAGTGAAATTTTGCCAGGAAGCCTTAACCTGAGACATGATGCTTCCAGAATTAACAGTGCTGAAACTCAAGAGTCATTATTACTTCCTTTTGCACTACTTGATGTCATTGCAATTATTGTGCACCCTTCTAACTATCTCACACCCCAGAATTTTCTTCATTTGGAGGGGAAAATCATCTTCTTTCTTCTTAATTTCTGAAAAAATGGGTGACTCAGTGGTGGCTTTTTCGAAAGACACACGGCAGAAGATGTTGAATAGCTAAGCTTTTAATTCGATGTTAGCTGAGAGTGCAGTGTCAATCCTGGCTTATGCTCAGTATGGCAAATCCCAGTGAGTAGGTACTAGATGAGCCCACCCATAACACTTCCCAGTTAGGGGCATTTGCAGTGATGGCTGAATACTACCAAGGAGCATGATGATGACACTGAAGTGTGGGGGGAGGTTGGGTTTTGAAGATAAGACCCACGATCATGGAAAATGGCCCTAGAGCTGATCTGGCAGGCAGTGTATTGCTAATTGAGTGGCATGTGTTGTTTCTACTCTCTGGATCCAATCTCTGATTTCATGAAGCCAGCCCTGTAGCACTGTGACTTGCTGCAGAGTGTCTCCCACACACTGCTCATGCATAAAGACATCTGCTGCTTGCTTGAAGAGAGCCAAGCCATTTCTGTGCCTCTTATGTCATCCTCCATGGTCTGACATAAAAGAACCAGGAACTATTCTGTAGGTGTGGAGTAGAGATGTCTCACCCAGAATCTGTCCAAGAAGGTACTGAAGCCAACTTCCCTTAAGAAAAGGTGCAGCTGTAGATTATCTCCTTGGGGACAACATGTTATCAACTGTTTCCCCAGTTAAGATAAATTTGGCCAGCTGTTTTCATCTCTGAGCTGTTGAGGATGCACTCAAGCTTTGTTGGTGTTATCCATCCTTTCAGAAAGGATCTTTGGCATCTTACCTATTATTTGATTATCTTAATTCTTTCATGCCAAATGCTCTAAAAAGTTTTAGGTAAGTGATATGATCTCCAAATCATTCATACTTTGGCCATGTGGGACGAGTTGCATTGTTTCCTTCCCTCTGCAATAGCATTGATATTGATCTGTAATCTCATGCAGAGAAGCAGATGTTCGTCCTTCTGCACAGAAATTCTTTTAACTGATGGCAATGCTGTTTTGGCCATTTAGATATCAACTGAGTCTAAAATCTGCTAAGGCTTATGTGTGCAGTACTGAGAAATTTGTTAAAGTGCCTGCTTTCATCAAACTTCAGTTTTGTAACATATCATATTATAGAGTTTTTCACCTTAACTCCAAAAAGCCACTTTTCCTCTTTACTGTATAATTGTGCAACTGTCTCATTCAGAGAATGGGTCCAGGCCCTGGTTTAATGTACATTATCTACATCCTACAGTGAATTCAAAATGTCTCATTTCCTCATTGGTATTTGCACGGAGCCTTGGAATGACATCCAGAAACCGTTCACATGTTTCAGAACTTGTCTTCACAGCATCCTATAGCTGGAACTTTCATCTCCTACATACAGTCAGGAATCTGAGTTTGGAGCAGTGGTGGTCAAAATTATTTAGTGTCAGTTTGGTGTGTCAGATGCCTGATTTTTTATGTTTAGGACTTTATTTCTCAAAGTACCTAGCACAGTTATGCACACATGTATCTTATTTAATATGCCCAAAGCAGAGCCCTAGTTGACTTTAGCTGTAACTTTTGAGTATTCATTTCAGTAAAAATGAAGACATTATTGAACATATTATCTAAAATTAGATCTACAAACATCAAAGCTGTTCTCCCATTGTGAAAGACTGTAAGAGTGGAAGAAAGATAACAGGAAAATAAGATTACATGTTAAAATGATGCTTTCAACTGTAGATGTAGACAAAGTTGGATTTTTACCTTGTTGAAAAGTTGGGGTATAGTTGCTTACCTAATGTTAATGAACATCTATTACTGTCAGTCACTATCATGTTTGTGTAGTCTAGCTGGATTGAGAGGAACTGAAGAGCAATTTCCAAAACATACAACTGTTGAACAGCAGTTTCCTTTCAGTATGTGCAATCAGATTTTAAGAGTATGTTAATCTATATATAGAAAACATTTGCATAGATACATACCTAAGACTTCAGGGAAACCCTGCTTGCATTTCAAAATCTGGCTCCAAACCATGGAAACACTAGAATTTTTTTCTGATAAAAGTTTTCCTTCGTTTCTCTCAGTAACATGAAAAAAATTAGAAGATTCTTCCTTGAAAGCCAGCCTTAGCCTGAAAATCTGGGTTTGAAAAGATGTAATGTCAAAGGTGCGGGTGTGGTCAAAAAAACTGCCTCCAGGAGCATCTCCCTTGGCATTCACACATCTTAAAAGGCAAGGCAGGAGGCTGGGGATCAAGATGCCAGAGTTTTTAATTCTCATTACTCTGAGTGGGTGAGTGCAGTGTTTTTGTCAGCTTTAGTATTAGAACACTAACATATGTTACCTCTCCTAATTTGTGTGACTCAATCCCTTAAAAGAAACCCATCCAAGTTCCTTCCTAGGCAGTTTTCTTAAAACTAAGGAAGCACATTATTACATGCTTACCTGTTTTGTCTTATAGCCACAAGTGAACCATTGGTTTGAGTAGCATCTAAGCATGTGGGACACTGCTCTCTCAGAAAGCAAAGGGTGTGAGAAGAAGCTGGTGCTGGGTATTGAACTAAGTTGTCCCAGTCACCAAGAAGGCTTGACCCGCTCACATTTGAGACCAAAGTCAGGAACTGCCAGTGATCCTGAGAGTTGCAAACATTCTCTAACCTGGGAGCTCTGTTTGGGCTTTAAGACAGTTTTGAAACATGTGTTTCTGGGTATCATGTGTTGAGAAGTGCTTTTGCTTCTCACTCGTTGAGTCTGTATTTTTAAGTATCTTGATTGTTATAAATGAAAAATTGCGAGTGAGCCAATTTTTAATAAAAAGATGAAAGATAAGATTTATTTCGCGACCGCAGTAACAGTGCGATAGCCACCACCAAAAACGGACAGCGTATCACCCCCGGGCAGTGATGCGGGTGAACGTGGAACCTGTCTTCGCTAAGATCAGATTCTCCCCGTCCACACACACTGCTTCGATGACACAGTTCTTATACTGTTTAATTTGCCCCCGGCTAGTAGTCCTTTGTCTCTTTCCAAGTTTCACATATTCATGTTGGTATCTTTCTCTGGCTTGGGCTGCACAAAGCCTCCATCAGGGAATAGAACGATGCACTTCCCTGGGATGATCTCTTTTCCTGGAGAAATGATAGACATAGGATCCAGTGGTTGAGGGTGTCCCATATGGACAATGAATGCAAGTGGCTGCCAGAGTTGCTTCCATGGAGTAACAGTAGCCAGCTGTCTGCCAGTAGCCAGATCTGCACTAACAAGCACCTTAAAGGCAGTGCCTTGTAAATAAACATAGGATATTCTTCCATTTCTTCAGCTCCCAGTCACCTAAAGATCAAGTTGCACATGAGTCTGACCCACCAAGGGTTTATCAGCACCAAAGCTGCCAGACTTCACTGGTTTGATTGGTTGTGCTTTCATTTGAAACTGATAAAGTCATTTTAGCAAATAGTTTTCAAGGAGTAAAGGATCTAGGTATAAGTTGCAGTGAGATATCTTGCACCTAATTTCAGGCCACCCTTACAATAGTTGACAAAGCTTGGCAGCCCTGGAGTAACTCCTTACTTTCAGATCAAGAAGTTTTTATGATGAAACATCTTCTATGGAAAATTGCTAGAGATTTTCTTTGTAATTCAAATGAGGGAAGATAGTGAATTTAAGTGGTCTTTTAGTTAAAACTTTACTTTGGGATTTGTCCCCTTTCCTACAGATGGGACAGGCAGAGAAGGAATCTCTGTGTAGAATTAAAGACAGAATGTTTTTTGCTCTCTTCTTATCAGAATTCGGTTTTGTTCCTCACACAATAGGAATAATCCTCTAAAAACTTTTGATTAGGATAAAGTGTTTGGTGTCCCCTAGAAGATGTCTTGTTTGGTTGTTTTTTTGTTTGTTTGCATCAATGTTAGATTTTAAACAGAAATAGTGACTTGAGGAAGTCTCCCAGGTGGTTCTGTAGTGACAAGTTTTCTCTCCTTAATTTAAGTATCACTGGAAGCAGAAGGGAAGGCTTGACTTGCTCCATACTTTGGTAGAGAAAAAGCCTTTTCTGAAGATGAATATATGTGAATATGCACCAGAACCAAGACATCACAGACAGACCGAGTTTGCTGGCAGCATGTGGAAGGAAGTGCAGGAGTCTTCAGTCACTTTACAGCTTTCCTGTGAGGTGCTTCCATTGGCAGGGAGAAGCGTGAAAGCACACTCACACCTCCTACAGAACTGACCCTCTAATTGAATATCCCTGGAAAACGTGTCAGACACAGTGAAAATAATCCCTGTGGGTGCAAACCCCCTTAGCATGCTGTCTTGGGATTGCATTTTCTCCTGTTAGGATTTAGCCATAGGCAGTGTATTCCACTAAAAGCTTTTGTGGCCTTTCTACTGGTATTTAGAGGGAACAGTAGAGATCTGCTCCTTTTGCCTCTCCTGGTCCAGATCACCCTTGCATCTGTCCAGTCACAAGCTTTTGCATGGGAATCTTTTGAATCTTTTTGAACCTCAGAATCCAGTCTTCCACCATTCCAGATTCAAACAGAGAATAAATGCACCAAGGAGTGCATTTTGGCAGTGGCAGGACAAATTGATGTCATCTCTGATCAAACTTGTTTCTTGTTCTTGCCTCAGTTCTTGCTCACAGTTTGCAAATGCACCTGTATCCTGTCAGCTCCAAACACTGAGTCCTTGTGTGTTGAGAAGAAAGCAGTAGCTCTGCTCAAACAGATAAATGACTTGGGGAAGAAAGACATTTTATGTGAAGGTATTTGGTAAATAAGGTGGAGGATGAATCTTCCTCTGTCTATAGAATACCTGCCTAATTACACTTTCCAAAGAGACTGTTTTGTAATCAGCTCTCTGGGCCCACTCTGCCCAACAGGTTTTTTAAATTGAGCATGAAAAGGCAGAGACGAACAAACTGAGGAGAATTGCCTCTTCTCTGTTGATTTCCTCACCAGCCATTAGCTGTTTTTCTCACTGACGCCTCCACAAAAAGTGGCAAGAATGATCAGCATTTCAAGGCTGCTGCTGCTGCCAGCCCCCGAGCTGAGGAGGAGTAGAGCTCCTTCCTCTTCACTCTGCAGAGCTGTTCTGCATCGAGCCCAGTGAGTCAGGCCTGAAATGGGGGAAAAATTTAGTCTTCCAAAATAACCCAGAAAGTTCAGGGTTTAAAGGGCATTGCTATCTAACGCAGCTGGTGGCACGTGGCGGGAATACTATGGGCAAGGTGTTCTGTGCCAGGAAATGACGTGCACAGGTCTGGTGAACCCTGTGCCATGCAGTGGATGTCAGGAGGAGCTGGGGAGAGATGCCAAAGGGAGCAGGGAATTAGGATGGTCTCATTTGGGTGGTGGACACTGTTTGTATCTCTTAATTTGCCTGTGGTCTCTGTATTACTGAATAAAGGATTGCATTGGGCATATCGCTCTCTTTTTTAAATACTGAGTTGCAGAGTAAGCCATGCTCTCAAGAGCATTCAAGATATCCTTTCTTAACAAGTTGAGAAGGATCTGCTGGCCCAGATAAATCTGTGCTGTGAGAATGCCTTGTGCTCATTTCAGAATGTATTCCTGAAGTCCTTGAATTCATTAAACCCTAATTAGCAATGAGCATTGATGATTTAAAAAATCTATGAAAATAGGCAGACCAGTGTATATTGAGCTGTGAAGGCACCTCTGGGTCTGTCCTACAATTAGCTTTTAGCCAGTTTGGTCTTAAAATACTCCTTCTATTTTCTCTGACATCCTGACCTTGCCTCTTGCTTTAGCTTTTGACGTAACAGCCTCTGAAACTGTCGTCTGGAGTTTCTATGGGGTATCCTCCACAGCAGATTGTGAAACTTACAGGAGAAGTGAAAAGTAAACTTGGGAACAAATAGAAAGTTTAGCATCTTGATACAAAATTATACTATATTTGTGTTGAGGACAGGCATTTGGGTTGCTCATAGGTTGTTAAAAAAACTGCTGTGAAAATCCTGTACCAATCATACTTTGAGATCATTTCCCATTTAAATTACTTGTGTTCTGGCTGTAGTAATTGATGCTACAGCAGAAAAAGCAAAAAAAAAACCCAATAAACCGCCAGAAAGTCCCTTCTGGTCTGGGACTGTTGAATCCAGCCACAAGAGAATTGTCACTGTGGCTGGGACCTCAAAGAGGTCCTGTTTCCAAAGAGGAAAGACATAATCAGAGTAGTCACTTGAAGCATCTGCAATTGTTGTCAACTCTGAAGAATTTAACAAATAGTATGAAAGTGTTTTATTTAATAAATGAATGTGAGAAATGAAGCCTGTTTGTATGTCTGGTTTTTTAAGTTCTTCTCTTTAAAAATCAGCCAGCATGTGTTCTAAACAACTAAATAGGAAGATTTTGGGAAAAGAGAGTTTTGATAACCAACTGGATTACTGACTAGAGCAGTTGAAGGTTTTGATAACTAACTGAGCAGTTATAAACTTGATTTTGCATCTTTAAAAATAATGGCAAAACTCCTGCTGAGTTCATGACGTAGAGTCAGCTTATATATGCAACTGGTTACTTGCATGCAAGCAGTTTCAGTTGTTAATGTGCCATTTTCTATAGAAACACTGAAAATACAAATTTTATTTATAAAAGCTTACTGAAAGTACTAAAGAAGTAATTGTTCAGGGACCTAAGCTGAGGGAAAAGCAAAAAATCTTGAACGTTTCAGTGCTAATACATGTAAAAACTTTGTAAAATTAAAACCATTTCTTGCTATTAATTTTAAAGAGAAGACTTTAACTATTTTTACCTTATCCTAAATGCTGTATTGTTGCCCTGTGTGGAATTTGAAACAAAAATCTATTTAACCAACAAGCAAGTCAGTGTGTGTGATGTTTGTCTGTTGTCTTTGCTTTCCAGAACACTTCTGCAGCAGTTGCAGAGACTCCAAGCCATGGTTGCTGGCAAAGTGTCCCGCTCGTGTAAGGCAGCTAGCACACAAACAGGGACCTGTCTTATGGTGAGTGTCCCTAAGGCTGGGGATTCTAAGGGAAGGAGAATCTCTTTCAAGGCACATCTCTTGTTCTGCAAAGCCTCTCAATAGCAAATTTGCAGCTTAGGGAACTCCTTTTCATGATTTAACAATTTTGAGGGAGGTGAGACTTGTGACTGATGAAGATTAATGATTGTGGGAAGGTACTGAGTTTGGGAGAAGACTGGGCCTGTGCTTTTGGTTGGGTGCTGCAGTGATGAAAGAAGGAGCAATGCTCTTCAAAGGGACTCACTTTATTATTTCCTGCAGTATTATATGGTGGAAATTGTATCTAGGGTTGTAAAATGAAAATGAGGGTGACCTTTGGGGCTCAGTGCTTTTGATTCTAATAAAAATAAACTTGCTCAACCAAATCAAAATATGACTGAGGCTGTAAATCTACCTCTGTCCTATTTTAGTAGTAGTAGTCAAGATAAGAAAATTAGTAGAATGAAACCATTCCTTTTCCCTCCTTACACTCAGCTGTCAAGTTCCCTTTATACCTAAAGTGCTGTAAATTGATGGAAATAATTTACAAGGCATAAGCTGTTCTCCCAGTCTAGCCTCACTGTCACTTGGAAGCAAAACTGGGGCCAGCAGCAGAAATAATATTGGAAATTCTCAGCAGTGCCTGTAAGACACACATGGCAGCTTTATCTGTATGTCAGCCTTGTGATTAAAAAAGGCAGCTGGTCAGGATGGTGCAGACATTGAAAACGAGCCCCAGCATTGAAATGTGCCCTTTGAAGCACTGAATTGTTATTGTATAGGTGCCTTTGCTAGGTGTGCAGTGCTGAGGATGGCTTCAAATGGTTTGTTTTGGTAAAGTATCAGTTCTCATGAGCGCCTGTGGGTCAAGTGCACTCACCTCTCCTGCATCCTCCCTTTGCCAGATGGTGGTGCTGTGCTTTGCAGTAGTTTTTGGCAGCTTCTCTCAGAGCTATGGGCCATATCCTTCTGCTACAAAGATGGTGTTGCCCAGGCAGCATTCCTCACCAGAGTCCTACACAGATTCCATTGGTAAGTGACAGCTATCCCAGTCTTACTCTTTGCTTGGTTATACTTAAGCACTTGTTTTCCATACCCATTCCTAACCCCCTTCTCAAGCACCTCATGCATTTTTGCTCCTTAAATGGCCATTTTTATATATATACCTGTGTTTTCCTAAGAAGGATAGCTTGGCAAACTATGCTGATGGCAGCAGACTTCATAAAAATGAGCAAAACCTTTTCCCCAGTAGCCTGCTTGGTGCTTCTGTTTAAAGAATTTTTTGCCTCTGTTTGCAGAACTAAAGTTAGTGGTCTGTGAAAGGTAGCAGGGTTTCTACTTGGTAGCAGATGTTCATACTGTTAAAATGCACAAATTATTTCATTGGCTGTTTTCTTTGCCAGTGTCACCAGAGAGTCCAAGGACTGAAGGGGAAACTGTTAGTATTACATAACCATAATGAACCAATGTATTATCAAAGTTATTATTTAATTTTGTTCTTGTTTTTTGAATAATTTAGTGCTTCTTGATCCCTACCTAGACCGTTCCTGTGGTTTCTTTCTTCAGCTATCAAATTGCCAGTTAATCACTATGAAAAGAAAAGGCTTTTGCAGCTTTGGCTCTGCCCTAACAGTTCCCATTTCCTGAAATGACCAGGATTGTTCTCTGAGCTGTCTGTTGCTCATCTCATTTTGCCTTCTGTCTTTGTATGCAGTGAGGTCAAGAAGCCTATTAATTTATGAAGAGCCTCAACAACTGGAGGAGCCATCCAGCCCGATCTCCTTTGCAGATCGCAGTGACAGGCAAACAGACCCCTCCAAGTTCACAGCACTGTCCCTGGAAGCTGTGTCAGGGACACAGCCAGATGATATCATGCAGTTCACAATAGCCAACGAGACAAGGCTAGAGAAATCAGTGCTGCTGGGCCTGCAGCAGCACAGGTGAGTGCAGGGTAGGCTGCTTGTCACACGGGTGTTCTTTGTCACTCTTGTTCGTGCCTGAAGGCCATAGGTTAGACTGGCAGCTCAGCTGTGCTGGGCACCATGAAGCGTGAAGCAAGAGTTTGGCTTTTATCTGGAGAGCCTATAGGCAAAGTCACTGTAGCTCTGGAAAACTGTTTGCATCAGAATTGTAGTAATACAGCTACCAAACTTGGTACTTCTGCCAGAAACCTAACCCCTGTAAGCCTGTTAGTTGGGCCTACCCACTTCTTTAAAGCACTTACTTATGTACTTCCCAAAGGAATAAGCTTTTGGCAGTTGTATGGAAGTGTGAGGTTGTGATTCACTGGAATTTCAATGAGGTTAGGACATGAAGAGCTGGAATTTCTCACAGCAGTGATTTTACTAAAGCATTACTGCAGAAAGTTTGCAGGACTCAGTCTCAAGAGACAGAGATGTAAAATTATCTGTAAATTACTTAAGTTCCTACCCTGAGTTCCCTCACTTTTAGCATTAGTGTAAGGGATGGTTTTTTGTTTGGTTTTTTTTTAGCATAAATGTAAGTTTTGCAGGCCTCTGAAAAGAGACAGTCGCTGTTTTAAATACGTGTACTTCTTTCTGCTGCGCCTTTGCTTGCCTAGAACCAAAGAGATGACTACTTCAGTATAATTGAGTATGTTACCAGACACAGCTAACTGACAAATACCTTGCTGGTAAATACTGAATGGCTCTTTAGCATTAGCCAAATCAAGTAGTATATGTATTTAAAAAAATTACTATTAGCATTAACCTTTGGTTTTTTGTTCCCTACAGAGTCAACTCCGAACTAGAAGGAAATGAAACACTGAAGATAATTGAAATAGATAGAAGAGTCAATGCCACCTCTTAAAAATAAAAAAGGCCTTTTTTCTTGACTTCCCTCCTTCCCACATATTTTCAACCAAAGTTCCCCTGACTTGTCATCCTCAGTGAACCAAAGTACAAAAGAGAGGGAGTTCAACTTCTGCATTGACTGATGAGGCTGTGACTACAGATGGGATCTCTTGTCTTTGTAACTCCCTTCCTCATGTTGCACACAGTCCCTGTCTCTGCTTTTATCCTTTTCCTGTCTAACACTACAAGGGCAGGACTGAATTATGATGGCAGATGATGCCAGCAGTGTGCCAGTGATGGGTGGGTGTGTGTGCCTGTACATGAACACAGCCTGATCTGAGCACAAAGACATTCTGGAGAAGGGTGAATTGTGCAAAACCAATGGGAGCATGTGGGTGATAGTTTTCTTGGGAGAAGGTAATTGAGAGAGAGAGGAGATGCAGCATGATGGTGCTTAGAATCTCACCACAGCTCTGTGCCTACTGGTCTACAGCCCTTGAGCCTTTTGGGGGGATAGAGAAGCAAGTGTGCAGCCTGCTGCTGAAGGGACAAGAAAGGGCCCTGATTTGCTGAGTTCATAGCACAGGCAGGAGAGGGCTGGTCCATGATGCTGCTGAATTATCCTCCCCATGCTCTTTCTCTTCTCCCCTCCAGCCTCTTCACACTTAGCAGGGTAGGTGTCTCTGTGCATTGAAAGCAGTCCTAGTGGGCTTCCCTGCTTCCACCCTTGAGAAATTATGCAATATTTTAGATGGATGCCCTTTAGTCTGCTTAAGGCTAATCTATTTAGCTTAAGTCAGCTCCTTCCCAACAAACTAAATCAATGTAAGGCTTAAACCAGAAGTGCCTCCTGAGAGGACTGTATGGATTTAATTTATTGGCTTCTAGCTGGTTGATGAAAATTCTTGTGTAGACCTGGTCTCAGATTGTCTTGTGTTTTTCCTTTCCTTGCCATCTTCCTGTTACTGTTGTAAATAGTATTTATTAGCTTTGACAAATTCTGTTCAAGTAGTTGCAATTAAGAGAACTGAGCTTTCCTAACCCTGCAAGTGATCTGGGCAGATCCTGAAATTGGACAGACAGACATCACTGAATACTCATTTCCTCCCCTTAAGCATGAATTGTCCTAAAATAAATCCACGTGTCTTATTTTCCTCTTACCTGCTTTTCCAGAGATGTGGTCTGAGACCAGCTGCTTTGGGTACAGATAGGGCCAGCTCATGCCTAGAGGTGGTGTGGATCCTGTATTAACTGTATGCCAAGGCAGCCTCTGATCTGAGGAGCTGATTGTGTAGACAGGAGACCTCTCAAAAGAGGAATAAGATGAGCACATGAAGGGGTGAAGTGACTGGCCCGGGCTCACTGAGAAAGCCAAGAGCAGCATTCAGGTTTGATCCTGCTCCAGTACTCTTCTCCATTCTTTGTTTCTTTCTTGCCCTGTGGTGTTGTCTTCAAGCATCCCCCCTCTCTCTCCCCCTCACTCTCTCCCTCTCTCCCTCTTCCTCCCTCTCTCTCTCTCTTCATCTCTTTCTCTCTCCCTCTCTCCCTCTCTCTGTCTCTCTCTCTGTTTCTCTCTCTCTCCCTCTCCCTCAGTACGCTGGTCATGTCTTTGCCTGAGTTGTGCTTTTTGCAATTTGTCCTTGCAGGGGCATAGTTGAACTCAGTCCAGAATTTGAGCAGGGTTTTATCTGGTTCCTACAGAAGGGCACTCATGCTCCATTGAGGATGGATCTAATGTGAAAATCCTAATTCAGCAGGCTGGCATAGCTACTTAACTGTTTACCAGAAGAAGTCAATTAAAAAAAGTAGTTAGAAGCTCTTTTTTCTTTTATTTTTTTTTCCTAATGATAAATAAGGGAAAAACTAACCTAGCCTTAAAAATAATTTTTTACTATGTACAGTAGATATTTCTTGCAACTATTCTATTTTGTAAAATATTGAATTTGTATTTTATTACAGCAGCTGTCACACCAGCTCCTTTCTTGTTCTTCATTCTCCTTAGACTTTCTTCTTTCAGCATCCTATTTGCCACCTTCAGGCCTGACTCAAAATCCAGTGAAATGAATGGGAGGGATTTGGTGAATTGGAGGGGACTGTGGATCAGTCCTCCCTGTGCCATTTTAAGAGGGTGTTTCACATCAGTGACAGTGAAACAAGTGCCTGACTCCATGAGCTCCTTCTGGTGTGCAGATATGCTCTTCTAGGTAATGCTTCTTGTACCCAACTTCTTGTACCCAAACTTCTTGTACCCAAGTGCCTTACTATTTTACCTGAGGTGACAGTGAGAGGAGAAATGCAGTTGTAGTCTGCTTTGCAGGTGTTCCCATCTTGGCATGGGTCAGCCACCACCATAGAGTCTGTTTCCCTTCACAGTGATCCTGCTGGGCTCTCTGCATCATTCCAGTATCCATTAACAACTTTTGTATTTGTGGGGTTTTTTTTAATGGTTTAAGGCTTCACATAAACAGTAATCACTTGTGAGTGCCACAAGGGGTGGCTGCATTGCTCAGCAACTTGAGGTCAGCAGAGTGACAGGAGAAAGCTGGGATTGACCCCAAACATGTCAGCATAAGTGGCCATGGTTATAGTTTAGAAAATTCCTTAAATGGACTTTTTTTTTCCAGAGCACTCTTGGTTTGATGCCTTTGAGGGCAACCAAGTGGTTAAATGTTGTGCAGAAGAGGCCCCAAGGTGTGAAGCACAACACCACTTACCAGTCTTGGAGTTTGCACTGTGCAGCCTGAGCTCCTGCCCATTGCCAGCTGAATGGATCACCTCCCATTTCACATACAGCTGGCTGACTTCACTGTGTGAAAACCAAAGTGGAATTATTTCTCAGCTCTTAAAGGACAGATGATTTTGCACAACCAAAATAGCTCCTCCTCTCTGAAACCTACTGCACTGGTCACCATTAAAACTTTGCTTTTTTTTTTTTTTTTTTTTTTTTTTTTTTTTTTTTTTTAATTTGGGTGTATTGGTTCAAATCTGGTTGGAAGATAATCAATCATGTTTTCATCCTGAGCATTTTAAACTGGCCATAGTCTGGGTCAGGCCTCTGTACTAATCCACCCAAGCCGGTATGGTCATACTGATTTCTTGTAAATATTTGATAATCTATTACTATATTCTTAATTTGTTTACTCCTTTAAGTTATTTTTAGGTATTCTTTTTTAGGGAATCTCTTGTCCTAGCACACACATTGCTTGGGGATTTATTGTATTACATGTTACTTTATAATAAGAAAAAGCTTTGCTTCACTTTGCTATGTTTGTAATCATTTTTCATCAGGGGCCTTAATAGAGCAGGTTTCTCTGCCAGGGGCCAAGGAATCCCCTCATCACCTACTCACAGGCTGTTGTGTGGCAAGGACCCACGATCTCCAGAGGGGGTTTGTGCCCGTGTTCTGTACCTAGCAGGGGACAGGAGAGGCAGGACAAGGTGCTATTGCACTGCCAGCCTCAGCATGCAAGGGTGACCCCCGTGGGAATGTTGATGCACTGCAGACCGCGTGGAGAGGCAGCCTCTGTGCTCTGAGTTAAGGGCATAGGAGAAGTAAGGCACATTCAGGGAGGATGGCAGTAAGTGCTTTTAGTCAGTTCAGCTCTATTACTTCAGGCCTTAGCCTTCTGCCAGTGTGCTTTTTCTGGTGATCAGTGACTTGATGCTGTGGAATCATATGTGTGTGTATGGACAGGATAAGCAAAGGCCTTGTGTGCTACATAATTTTAATTTCCAGTAGAGGACATAAGTGATAAAGAGTCCTCAGCTGTAAGGTTATGTTGCTCACCAGCACAATTTTATACACACTAGTGAAGTTACCTTTTGGCCTGTAGCTTTAGAGCATGTTTCGATCTGTTGAGTCTTTGCTTCTAGGGAGATAAGCTATGAAGGAATATAGGGCATTATTTTATATATATGTATATTTTAAAAGTCTGAATCACAGGGCATGGGACGTTTCTAACCTTGTTACTAGGGTGTAGATAGTGTTCAGTTTTTTCCCCCCAGGCTAGTTATAGTTCTTTGCTGCACTTCTTTTATTTCATTTGTATCACTCAATATTTTTCAGCAACATAGACTAATGGATTAGGCTGAGGTTCTTAGGCCAGATCCCAGCCGATAAAACCAGCATGGTTCTCACACACTGCTCTTGGAGGCTGCAGGTCTGATTTATGCTGACAGGGGACCTCTTCCTCCACATCTCTGTGTGTAACAGTGTATCTTAATGTGTTCTTGATTCTTCTAACATAGACCAAAAATTAATCTAAAAACTTTTTTTTTCCCCTGCTAAAGAAACCAACCAACCTCTTCACTCCCATCCCTCCAACTATCAGTGGTGAATTCTGTCTAGACACTTTTAGAATGTAGGTCAAGTAAGTGAATGATGCTAATTGCTACATTGGGAGGGATTTCCACTGAGTATTTGGGCTCTAGATTCTAGCTAATGCCAAGAGGCCATTGTTCAAAACCCACGCAGCTAAGAGCAGAGGAATATGGAGTATTTTTATACACCTGGTGACTAAAATATTTCTTTCTCGAGTCACTAATTAAAAAGGGAACATTTTGTATTCTGAAGGTGAAATGATAGGTCAGTACTTTGTAGCTGCTGAAGTTGTCCCAGCCTATATAACACTGTAGTGCTATGATGTGTTGCTGCTTTGCACTATCTAGCATTAAGGTTTAACAACTTTGGGGGTTGCAAAGGGGAATGAACTGATGTGTATGTTAAGTAAGGTCTTTACAAAGAAAATGTAAGAATTCTGTCCATCTTGTAGCTTTCTCATGGCCAATAAAGTAACATTGGGCATTCAGAGAATTTGTTGAAAGTTGATCCTCATGAACACTGCATTGCTTAGGTGATCAGCATCCATTGGAGACTCCAGGACTGAGAGGGAAATTGCAATTTGGTTTTCTCATTTTTATGTCAGGTCTTTTTCTGCTTTACCAAGGTGTGTGTGTATATATATATATACATATGAATCAAATTCCTGTGTAGAAAAAAAAGTGCATCATGCAGGAAACTCATTTGTGATGCTGTTTGGATCTGATGCTGAATGGGGTTTGGATATTCTTTATTAGCAGCAGTCTCTTGTCTGCCCTACAACTGATCTCCAGATTCTTCCTCCAAGAGGTGCAACTAAAGAGGTGAGAACAGAACATGGGAAAGCTGGATTTACAGACCTGTCTTGCAGAAAGGGTGAAAGAAAAGGCAGGTGAAGGGACTTCGTGCATCACAGGGAAGCCTTCTAGTTCTTGATTCCATAAATCAGCAGTAATAGCCTGAATCAGCAGTGATAGTCTCTTTCATTAGTTACCTGCTACGTTTAGGTTTACTCCTACTCCCCTTGCTCTTTAATGCTATGCAGTCCTGTTTATGCAAACCTGACCTTTATGGTATATCCCACTTTACCCTCTAAACAGCAGGTAAAAATCTTGCTGAGCCTTAGCAGTCCATAATGAAGGGAGTGGAAGAGAGAGAGGGAGAAGCAGAGTCAGGTACTGAATTTTGTTAAACAGAACTCTGCTTATATCTGACTTTACCATAGCAGACTTTAATTCAGTGGTGCTGATATAATGGCATCTTGCTTTCTTTATTTGTACAGTTAAGAGAGAATGAGTGTGTGTGTATGTGCACGTCTGTGCACATGTGCATGGTGAATGATCAAAAGGTATCAAACCCACAGAGTTTTCTTCATGTAGTAAGTGTTGCTAAATAAAGGCATCTACCAGAACACACAGGGCACTTTGGGCTTGGTGCAGCAGAAAGTCCAGGCATTTCTCTGAAACCTGTTCACATTCCACATCACTGAGCACTTGTAAAACTGTTGTGTGAATTGCTCTGAAGACTGTCCTGTGATTAATTGTCGACTGAATGTTGTTGCACTGTGTAATTTTGTGTGTGTGCATAGATTGTCTGGCCTTTTTAGAGACCAGTTCTGGCTTGGTACAAAAAACTAATTATTTTATATTCTGGTATCATTTTTGGTCTGCAGAATTATGGCTTTGAATGCCTTTATTATTATTATTATTTTACGTGGTGTAAATTGCCTTAAAAGATGGCCCCTGGGAGCGCTGATGCCCTAACCACCCCTCAGGCACAGTGAGATGCAAGCCAGGGGAAGCAGTTTCCTCTCAGAGGGTAGTCCAAGTACATCCCAGTTTCCCTGGGATTCACTAGGCTTCCAAGGGCAAATTACCTGCTCTCTTGGTGCTCTCTTGAAGAGAAGTATCCATGGCCAATTCCATTGCCTTGGTCAGTGAACAGTCACTCTGCTGTGACACCCGTAGGGCACTTAAGCTGGTGTTTGCCTTTCCCTCTGTTCCTGTGCATATAGTTCACAGTATAGGTTTGTGCAAACATTTAAAACTGTCTGAGATACCAGGGACAGTGATCCTAGTGCAAAAGCACACCACTCCCCCCTCAAAACTCCTCGGTAAACTTCATTTGGGGCCTCTTCTGACTGCAAATATCTCTATTCTCTTGCCATGTCTATTTAACTCTGTCTGTGTTCAGTGACCTTTCTATTTTTGTACAAGTGCTGTCATCTGGATATGGTCCCACCTGATTGTTCACACTGCAAACATGTCCATTGGGTGGAAAGAAATTGCTGTGTTTCCTTTTTAAATAATTTGCCTGATTCTGTGAGAGAACAGACTACCTGCTTTTTTAGCCTAAATATGTATGTAGTGAAGTATGATATGCTTTTCATTTCTTGCAAATAAATATTTTCTGTAGAAAAAAGCAATTGCTACTTGTTTGATTTCCTGATGACTGGAAAAAATCTGGGCCCTTGACTTTCACAGGTGTGCCAGCATGTGCAATTTGTCTATCTTCACCATGGCAGAACCCTGGTAATTAAGTGATAGACAAAGAAGGATATGGGGTTTTACTGAAGCTGGCTGTCCCTTCCATTTTTGAGGTTAGCAGAGAATTATATCTCAGTAATGGGTGCAAATCAGGGAAGGCCAACAGCATTTAACAGTGATAATGGCACTCAGTGCAGCGCTGTGCTACGGCCCCATTAACAGTAAATTCTCTGTACAACTGGGATCCAGGAAGGCTGATGCTGGAGGGGGCATTGCTTCAGCCTAGTGACACTGAGGTGCTGTGCAGTCACCTGGAGTGACAGGGCTTGCTGGGGCTGATCTCTGTGGGCCAAACACACCTCTGGAAGGTAAGGCCTTTCCCTGCTCTGGCTTCACACTGGGCTTGTTTAAACTGGAGTGAACTCTTAAAGGAGCACTTTCTGCTTTGGCTTTTTAGAATTGGTTCTTCTGGTGGCCTCAGCTCCTTTCCTTTGCCTGCCTTGCCCCTGAAATAGTTTGGGAGCTTTCTCCAGCAATTCAGAAGTTTGTTCTGCCTGTGTGAGCACTCAACATGACACCCTACAGCCCAAACCCAGCATCCAGCCAGGGCACAGAGCTGACCTCTGCTGCTTTGATAGACAGGGAAAAGGAAATGCCTGATTGTTTCAGTGTGGGGACTCTGTGGCTTTGCTGGTCATCCAGGGAACTGGACAAAGGATGACCTAGTGCCGATGTGAAAATTACCCTGTGTAGAGCTGGCATCACAAATGGTACAGTAATTTGTTTTATGCCAGTTGGCTTCGGTGCATCCTTTCCAAGGCCTCCTAAAGAAGGATGCTCTAGAGTTTGGGGAAGGTGGCATACAAAGGAAATTGGAACACTGTGGCCTGCACTAAATTTCTGGCTGATGTGGATTTTCAGAAATGCCTTGATTTGGGGCTAAAGAGGTTAAAGTAGCAAAAGAAATTGGCAGTAAGGGAAGAAAAAAGGTTCTTCTCCAAGGATCTACCCTGTGTGCCTCTTGCTTTCCAAAGAGGCAGTTTCACTTGCCAGGACTATTGATCCAGGGCGCTTGTTTGCAGCATATATAGCATTTTTAGAGGAAAATCTTTAGACTGTGACTGATTGGGAAAGTTACCCTCAGCTTAGTTTTAGTTGAGCTCAGTTCCTCCAAGCAAACAAACCACAGGCCGGTGATTAGCCATCAGTTAAGAATCTCCTCGGATCTCCCTGTGAACCTTAAAGCATCACACAACAGGTGATGCTGCAGGGAGTCTGTGACTGAAAAAGAAACCCCACACAATGGGGAGATGCTGTGTGATGAGCTGCCAGCCTCCCTACCTATCAGCCTGTTCTTGGAAAAGCATCTTACTGTTTGAATCCAAGGCTGGCTTTTGATACTCCTTTTTCAGGCTGTTGCAGGACAGGAGGAAGGATGTCCAAATGCAGCTTGTGATGCCTCTCATGGCATGTTCGGGTAGAAAGTGTTCTTGTGCTGTTAGCTATTGTTTGTACCTGTGTTACAACAGCACAGACTTCACCCCCCTTGAAGGTATTTCATGGAAGATTCATTCCTGATGCTCCCTTTCCTGATTTGTTTGCTTTAGGATTTTTTTAGAAATGTGGGCCTCATGCTTGTGGCATGCTGGTGAATTTGGCTTGCCCTATTTATTCCATGCTTCAGATTCCTGGTCTGCAAAGCCTATGGTAGTTTCCTCCTCTCTGTAAATCACACTGAGATTAAGTAAAGCAAGGTGATTGAAAGGAGATAGCAATTGGAAACAAAAGCATATTTCCTTTCTAATGAATAATAATGCTTGCATGTCTTGTCTCCCTCCAGTTTGTGCCTCAAAAAGTCAAAGTGATTTATTTGATTTCTCATTTTCTTGGTGTTGTCTCCTTGTAGGCTTAAAATGGTTACACTTTCATTATTGAATTAGTCTTACACTGTGTTTGCACGAGTTCTATGCATTGGTATAAAATTACTATTTTTTGTCTCTCTAGTAAGAAGGAAATTAGAAGTTGTGGCCCCTGTCTTTGCTGTGGTACAGCTGATGGAAGATAAGAATAAGTCCATGAATGTTGGATTGTCTCATTTTCTCTGTCTAAAGAAATGCTTAGGATCTGGTTAGCCCTCTTCTTTAAACCTCTTTGATAAAAATCTGTGTTTGATCTGCTCAGCTGAGGTGGGTCCCTCCTTGCTGAGCCTCAACATCCCTCAGTTTCCTAATGGACGAGCAGCGCTCTACTAGACCTTCAAAGGTTGACCAAAGAGGAATGATGTTGTGGGTGGATCCAATCTATCAACTTTGGATCTGGAAAGGGAAGCTGGCCATTTATGTCACATTTAAACAAATATTTACAATTGGAGGAGATGCAAATACATGCATACATGTCGATGTGTATAAATTTATTTTTATATGTTTTGTACTTTTTTTCTGAAAGTTGAACGTTGGGGGCTAACCTGGGGATGAATTTTATGTGAACTTAAGGAACATGGAGCATTTAAAGTAGACTGACTTCTCACCGGCTAGCCTGGCACACTGAACAAGTAAGGTTGCTTCATCCTTTTCCTCCTCAATCCCCCTTTTTATGTATCCATCTCTTTTCTATTAGAAAAAGAATTTTCAGTCCCTCCCACTCAGAATAAAACTTACCACAGTGCACTCATTCTGTGCACACTGGAGTGTTCAAAATGGGATTTTACAGGCATGTGAGTAATGGAATAGACCTTCCCTTGGCTTTACTCCAAAAGACTGAAATCCCTCATTTCACTGCAGTTCCTCTGTCATTCCCACCATCCACCCTCCTATTCATGGCATGCAGTATGGTGAGAAGTTTCCACCCAGGAAAAGTGCTCCCCACCTGCTGAACCTTGTCAGCTCTCCCAGACAATCAGGGGAGGCACCACGGAGTGGTGTGAGGTGCTTCATTTAATGTGACAGCACTTAAGAGATGAGAACCCAGACCTGGGAGTTTGGATTTTTTGTTAGCATGATAATCCCAGATACTGGCAAAACCTGCTAAAAATCTATTTTTGTGCTCATCCTTTCCCTCCTGGCCCAGTGGTATGTCTGCAGCCACATCTTGGAGCAAACGTGATACTCCTACAAAGTTTCCGCTGTTGCTGCCTTCCTGTACCCACAGGGATTGATAGCTACACCACAGGTGTAATAGCGTAAGCAGGGCTTTCCTTCACAAGCCTCAGACTCTCTCATAATTGCTTGTATTCAGAAAAAAAGGCAAAGGAAGTCAATTTAGCTCTTCATGTTGCAAATGAGTCATGCAAATTGCAGCAGTCAGAGGAAAAACAGGTGATCCCGGAGCAGAGTGTAAATTTGATTATGTGGATAAAAGGGTTATTGACAAGCAGGAGCTACAGGAGAGCTTGTTGAAGGAGAAGGTGGGTCAGTGGCATGGATGTTCACTGGAGAGGGGGCAGGAAATCCTAGTTAGTTGTTAGGCTTTGCTCCAGATGCTCTGGGGGAGGTGGAGCCATTAGCTGGGGCACAGGCGACAGAGTTGTTCTCATGTGGACCAAAGGCTGAGAGAATAAAGCTGTGAGATGATGCACAGTGTTCTGCTCTTCGAGTGCAAAATTAATTTGCAGTTACAGGTTTTTTAGCACATTTCATTGGCATCTTCTCATAGCAACAGGCCACACAATTTTCACCAATGACAAAACCTAAAAATGGCATTGATAAGAGAGGGAGTTGTGCTGGCACTCCCCATCCTTGAAGCTGACTTTTGGGCTGGCTCTGAACTGCTCTTTGACAGGTCCACCCCAAGATGGTTTAGTTTGGCTCTGCAAAAAATATTTGTCACATGGTCTTAAATTGAATGCTTTCCTAAGCAACATTTGCTGCTGATTCCCCTGGAAGTTCAACCTGAGACTTTCCAGTTGAGGTCCCAGCTCTTAATGGAAAAGGACCAATGGTTCCAATGGAGCTCCATGCTGGTTTGTAGATCTCTCTGCACACAGTTCAGAGGAGGACCCAGACCCTCCTTTTACAGTCCTGCATAAGAACCTTAGTTTTACTTTTAACAAGCAAGGGTTTTACATTGCTTAATTATGCTTTATGTGCTTCACTAGTAATTAAAAGTAGTCTGGGAATGGTATTGGAAAGGAGCGAGGATCAGGTGTAAGGAATATGTTGACTGTCATGAACCTGATTGGCACAGGGTTCACACAGAAGAGGCAAGGCTGCTTAGGGAAGTCATCTGTGGAGCACAGGAGTTACTGAAATGTCTTTCTGTAGGGTTTGCCTTCTCTGTAGAGCATAATTGTTCATGCTTTTTTTTTTTTTTTTTTTTTTTTTTTTTTAAATTTTTTTTTTTTTTGTTTTTTTTTCCCCCGGGGCTTTCTATTTTGGATTGCATTACCTCAGGGAACTTTTGCATACAGAAAACAAAGCACTGTGCATAATTCCTGCAATAATTTCTGTATAGCTGCAGACCTCAACCTTTTCTGTTTTCTGTACTTTTTAATCGTATTGTCACTGTCAGCTCTTGTGCTGAAACATGCTGACACTTTGAAGTTTTCTTTAGTGTCCCCTAATGAAAAAAAGGGAGAAGCAAGGAACAAGGCGGGAGTACAATTAACTTTACGAAAGGGCACCGTGATGCTCGCCAGATATCTTTGCCTCTGGGTGCTTTGATTCTGAGTGCATCAAACTGAGATCACCGTGGGGACAAACTGGAAGCAGTTGGTAGACGAAGGCAGCCGGTGTGCTCCGGTGCTCGCTCGGGAAGGTGTTTGCGGTGCGACGCGGGCGCGGCCGCGGGGCGGGGTGCGGTCGGGCGCGGCCGCGGGGGCGCGGCGCTGCCATTGGCCGGCGGCCGGCGGGGCGTGGCTGCGGGCGTGGCCGGCCAGGAGGTTCCCACAATGCCCCGCTGCAGTGCGGCCGCCGATGGATGCTGCGCGGTCGCGCTGCC